GTTGGATTGACTCGGATGGGTGACCAAGATGATGATGCCAGCCACTAGAAGACACTTTGACACTGGAGTGGGCTGAAGGATGAGGTGCGAGTTGCGAGGTCGGTCATTCATACACACCATCTTTAGGTTGTCCTCTAGAAGTGGTGCCCCTTACAATAGATCCTTCACACGAAAAGAAGATGGTAAGAACTCAATAGACATATTATTTGATTTACAAAATTAAGATATGGAAATAAGATTTCTTTTCATGTTAGGAACAAAAAAAAATATCATGTAATTTAAATGTATGGGAGGATGTTGTAAGAGAAGAGGAGCCAATTTTGGAAATGTGTAACCCAGTACCATCACCGATAATAATATCGTCAGACCCATCGTATGGAGAATGAAGGGAGAGGTTACCGAGATCGGTTGTGACATAGTGGGATTCCCTACTGTCGAGAAGCCATATTGGGGTTTCGACATCTGATGTTGTGGCAACATGCGCCTTTGATTGCCACTGAGATCTAGTGTGCGAGGTGTGAGTGACGCCTTGCGAGGAGGCGGGTACCAGCTGAAAGAGAGGATATTAAGCTACGGTGTGGCCTTGTTGTCGACATCCTTGACACTTGCCGAGATACGGCCTCTGCTGGCGAAATGCGGCTTGCGGAGATTGAGATGGTTGTCGTCTTGGGGCGGGGTGTAAAGATTGCGCCTTGTTGAACAAGGAGCGGTTTGAACTATTATACCTGGTCGACACAATGTTAGTCGTAGCGGGGTGCGGGGTTCAGACAGATTGGGACTGCTGAAGCGCGAGTTCCTTGTTGATGAGTTTCTCATGAAGCTCGTCAAACAAGATGGGGTTGTCCCTACCTTCCACTATATCAGCGATTTGGTGATAGTCATCATCGAGATCTTCTAAGATTTTCTCAATGATGTCCTCATGGTCCATTGGTATACCGAGTGTAGCGAGGCGATTAGTTCAGCACTTGATATATTGCATATAATCTAAAACGGATTGTGATCCCTTCGTGGCTTACTTGATCTGATCCTTGATTTGCTTGATGTGACCACGTGTTGAGCGAGCATAGGTGTTAGCGAGAGTCTACCATGGTTCGCGGGAGGTGGTTGCCTATTGGATGAGAGGGATGAGAGAGGGGGAATGGAACCGACAAGGGTGCCAAACAACAGTTTGTCTTAGCGAGTCCAATGCAGAAAATCTGGGTTGGGAGCTTCATCATTGCTGGTGGTGATGGTGCGAGGAGGACATGGATGAGATCCATCTATGTATTTGTAGATGTCATAGCCGATGAGAATGGTCTCAATCCGGAGTTTCCAAGCAATATAATTTGTGGAGGTCAATTTATGGATGGATTGATGGGAAGTGTTGATGAGTTGAAGGTTTTGGGTTGAATGTTCTAGGTTGGGGATGATAGTGATTTGAGAATCAGTCGTCTTAGTGAAGACTGCGGCTAGGGTTTGCAAAAGAGTGGTGGGAGAAGGTCTAGAACGGCTCTAATACTATGTAAAAGTATTAAAATTGCTGAATAATGGCATAGACTTTTTTATTGATATTAGGAGATATTTATAGGATTACAAGAGAATCAATTAGTTACATAAAATCTAAAACCACCTAATTAGTTACATAATTATTAGAACTAAAAAGGGTAAGTGAGTTGTAGAGATATTAACAGAATATCATACAAAAGGAAAGAATCACAGGGCGGTGTTGACTGACACCACAGGACGTGTCGACTGAGACTGCCTTTCGTATCGACTCAAAGGGTGTCGACTTAAAGGGTGTCAACTTGTCTCGTCTGGTTTGGTGTCGTCAAAGCTTGTCGACCGACTCCGTAGGACGTGTCGACTAAGACCGTCTTTCGTGTCTACACAAGGGGTGTCATCTTGTCTAGACTCTTCTCATCTCGTGTCGTATAGTCTAGTCTCGTCTCGTCTCGTCTGGTTGCAATTCCTTAATACGTGGTACATAAGGGGATATGACATGAATTCAGGTACGTAATTTGTCACGTAAAAAATATGGATTAGATGGAGGGTAGCTTACTTTGGTATGCAAGTTTAGTTAGTGGTACATTATTAATTTTTTGGGTGCTCTTAAAGTTTTCCAGAGTATATAGTAGAAAACTAGAAACTAGAAAGCTAATCATGCATTTCAATAGTTTTTCACACAAAATACTTAAAATACTTCTTATTTATGGAGTTTGTTTCTCTTATCTGTTTTCACATAGTTCTTGTTGGGATCATGTCATTTCACATTTTGTTAACATAATAGTGAAGTCTGTGGCTCATTTATCTTGTTATGCACCTCCCTTCACTTGATTGCACACATATCATGGCGTCTTCCGCATGAGCACTTAAAAGGATTTTGTGAATCGGATGGAACCGGTTCACAAATATACCAGAAATCGATTCGTAGGAATTGCAAGACAATTGGTGGGTCCAGGGAATCTTGCAACTATGTTGTTGTTATCACTTTGCTACTTTTTATGCATCCAGTCATATCAATAATTATTATATGATTTTAATTTGTAGCTTCCACACAGATATACGCACTGTTTTAAAAAGCCTCCGCACAGTCCGTCTAGGCGTCCGCGGTACATGGCCACCTAATTAACGCCTAGTGCCTAGACAGTTACTAAGCTACCCATCTAGAGTTTGGGAGTGTTTAGGGGAGCATCGTCTGCTTACATGGATTGCACCATGTAGGCATTGATCGTAATTTTTTGTGTTGCAGGTCTCCACGTCCTCTAACTTCCTTCAAACTCATTTAACCTCCAAATATGAACACATCCACTACCTCCTCCGTCCTTCAGCAAAATCTTCTCGACCACCATTTAATTGAAGAAAGAAATCCACCTAGACACCAGTCCGACATCTAAGCCTTCTATAACATTGATATTTACTATCAATTATTATAATTAAAAAATAAAAAATAAAACCTCCTAGGCTCTAGGCGTCCGGTCCAATGCCTAGGCATTCTAGCGCTTTCTATAACATTGTTATTTATTATTTTGGCTATTTACTATTTAAGTATACATAGCTTATTATGGATCTAAGATAGCTATCTTTTTGGCAAATTTATATGAATCTAATACATATTTTTACTAATTATTATAATTAAATAATTTTAAAAATAGCCAAACGCTTAGGTGATGTCTAGGCGTATGCCTAAGCATCTAGGCGCTAGACGCTGGTTCAAACGCCTAGTCCGCCTAGCGCCTTCTATAACATTGGATATACGTATGACTTTAATGTTTAAGAGACAATATTTGGCTTTAAAGGCTTAGTGCATTTGTCAATCACTTGAAAATGACTTTGGACTGCTTTTTTGCCACATCGTTCCTTGTTGGAAACGTCTGGGTGTGGGTGGGCACTCCTCTGCTTCTTAATGCTCCTAACTTGTGCTTGTATTAACATATGTGATTTTGCATGTTCTTCTTGTGATTTTATTCCATCATTAAGAATAATTTTTTTTTTCTTATGATGATCTCCTAAGGTTATGTGCAGTGATCGTCATATTCAGCTACATTAATCGGCTATGACATGCCATTAATTTTGTGTGCAATGATATGCTGCTGTGTTCCCTGTATAATTTCCATTATGGCCATAACAGAGTCCACCACTGAAGCAATTGTGTTGTAAACTTACAGGGAAAAGTCGAATTGTAGTGAAAATCTAGAATTGAGTGGCATAAACCTGGAGAGCCAAGGTGAGGGTAGATTCCTAGCTGATGTTACTTACAAGGAGCAGACCATCTCTGCTGAAGATGCCGAGCTTCTTATGCACATCTACGTACAACTTACCTCATCATATATACAAGTTAGGGTGCAGGAGGGAAAAGTTGTGCAGATGAGATCGATTTAAACCAGTGATATGGTTTTTTTCCTAAAATTCTCAATTCTCCTTCCTGTGATTTACGTGGTTCCATAAGCTGAATAGTTTCAAGATTTCTCTCGGTAGTTTGGAAAAATTTTATGAATTTAATGGAATTTTACTTCTGTTTAAACACCAGAGGTGATGGTTCATGCATACTCACTCGATGATGATTGAGAGTTATCGGACTTGGATTATATGCATTCTTTTTCTTTAGATTAATGCTTATATTATTAAAATGACTACTTGATAGTCTTGATGATTTATGTTAACTATAACGTACAGTTGTCTGCAATGTGAGATTGCAGTATTTTACTACAACCATGAAACTATCACTCATAAACTTTATAGTATCATGAACCATCAGTCTGTAAGCTCCAATTTTGTAACTTCTAATGCTATTTCTCGCGCAATTTGGACATGATCATTCTCTTTGATCTATTGAGCATGAAACCAATTTGTCATGAAAAGGGAGAACTAGAATGAAAGACCACTGCAATACAGTGATGGACCAATCTAATATGAGCTATCTGATATTGCTAAAAGTATTTGCTTTGTTTCACATAAACCCAACAAAAATTATCATCATCATCCACATGTTTCTCCTCTTTTCTATTGAATATCTACATTTAATAGTAGAAAAAATTTCTCGAAATTGGAACTCTAAAAAGGAATCTCGTTTAAAAAACTTACGAGAAGTTAGTGTTCTACTTTTGCTTAAACAAAACAATTTTCATAACCCAAATAAACCAAAAGTAACAAAGAATAGACCACATTATATCCTTGCTGTTTTTCAAATACCACACTACATCCTATCCTAATTAATAAAACTCTTTAAATAGATCTATAATACATTATTTGTGACATATCTATTCCTCTATAATAATGGGAGGATCCAAAATTCACTATCTAAGATATGATAGGATCATGCGTCGCTAATCTTCTTTATTTCCAAACCAATGATTCCATTAGTTACCAACAACACATAATAATTATTAGTACGTCATTGAATCGAAATAGAGTGCCAATTTACAAAGAACTACTCTTTCGAAAGAACAAATCCGTCGATGCTAAAATGAATAGACTAGTCGCAAGTATTCCTTATGAATGGTACATATTAAAAAGTAGATAGGTTTTACACGCATTGACCAAGGAATAAATTGCCCCAAAAATTCTTGATAGCATCCATTGTCTATGCAGCATAGGTGTGATCATTGAAAATACATCAAAGAATCATGTCAGTTCGCAATATTACAACCCTTTCCCCAGAACAATATTACAACTCCGTGTTTAAGACCTTTTACAAACAGAGAGTAAACAACTCTCTGCCAAATTATAATTAGGCATTTTGTCTCGTAATCTCACTCAGTATGACCATTGGAAGTAACACTTTATATCGTACTTCTCTGACTTTTCTTTCTTATCTTGAAATTATGGAATTACATCTATTAGTATATCACTGATGGTTTTCACTTTGAGCAGTAGAATGATGATCTTTGACAAAAGTTCGAAGGCACCCATTGATGATCCGAGGAGCACAGCCATCACAAAATCGTTTTGCAAGATCAACGGCCTTCATGACCAACATTGAACTTGTAAAGATACCAATGAAAAGCAGGAGGAAAAAAAACCCAGGGAAGTAAGATGACTAACCTCATTTATAACGATTTGATGTCGTGTGCCTACGGAGGTTATTTCGGCCATGGCAAGGTGCAGAATGCAAAGCTCTAAGATTCTTCCTGCAGGCTCATCCTGCAATTTAAATTTTATTTTTAAGAGGGCTCTCGTAAAAGGGAATGCAATTCAAATAGTAGCTGTTCTTCCGGAAATACTGTAGCATAAAGATTCTTGTTTTGCTTCAGAATAGTATCATAGAATTCGTACTCGAGAGAGAAAAGGAACAAAACTAAAGGATGAGAATTCTTTAGAATCTGTGCTGCAGATTATACAACAAGGTGCCTGTTATAATGTAATTCGTACTTGAGGCAAAATAGCAACATGAAAACCAAAATGTATCCAATTCCATGCATATTTTTTCCCTGTATATATTCCTGAGAGATGCGCATCTCTTTATAGGATGTATATGATAATGCACTAGTTCATTGTCATAATATATACTGTTTAAACAGATATAGAACTAAGAAATCGAAGAAAGAAAATGAAAAGCACATGTGAATTCATGTTGAATGTTTCTTATCCTTGTTAAATTGTGTGGTTAGAGGGGAAGCGGAAAAAACAAATACACGTCCAAAGAAATAGATGATCTACCTTCCAGTTTGGAGGGATAACTTTATCAATAACAAGTACATGCTCATTCCATCCGCTCACAACTGCTCCCAATATATCCCTAGCCAAACTGTAAATGGCCTTGCTCAACAGTTACAAAAATAGGAATACAACATAGACAAAAAAACTTTCTGCATGCAAGTGAATGACATAAGAGGAGGAGAGATACCGGAGAACAAATCTATTGTACACCAGTTTTGGTGGTGCTGAAAGCACTTCTGCTTCTGAAAATCATAGGATCCTCAGTTAGATTTTTTTTTTAATTTTGGTTCACAACCAAAAGGAGGAAAATCAATGCAAAACTACTGGAAATAGTAAAAAACATTTCCATCAAAAAAGATTCAACCAATGATAGGCTAGCAATATGTTCCTAAATTTTGAATTTGGTCAGCGGTACAACTTGACAATATTTTTATTCTTTAACAACAGTTAATTGCGGACAGACCCCCTATACTAGTTTTATTTTTGCAGATAGACCTCTTGAGTGAATTTTTTGAGACTCTTTTACACTCAAAGAAAAAAAAATTGTTTTTTGACAAATAGATCCCATGAGGGTAATTGGTTAAAAGGTCAAAAAAAATTCTCTCAGGGGATGTATTTGCAAAAAATAAAACTAGATGGGTAATAAGTCAAAAACAGTGTTACTACAGGGTCTATCTAAATCTAAAATGCATGGATACGGGTGCGGCTATGGACACGGACATGGATACGGACAAGGGACAACAAATTTATAAAAGGTGGCACAGGAGGACATGGCTACGTGTGTGTGTGTGTAAATTTACATTATATCAAATATTGAACTAAAATGCATATAACATTTGTATGTTTCTTTTATTATCTATAACAAATAAGAATCAAGTTAAATCGAACTAAAAATTAAGATCTTTAGTCGTCATCAAACAGCTGGGAATGGAGACTGTAATTCCTTTTTTGGGTTCGATTTTTTAAAAGATGAAGTGGGAACGGAGAAAGAAAGGCAGAATCTGGTTTAATTTTGATCCCATGGGATACAATGGGTATTTTTCAAATCTTTAACTGATGGGTTTTTCAAAACCTGTACCCAGTATACCAAAGAAACTAGTTTAGGGTTGTAAGTATGAGGGATTGGGTTTTGCTTTGAACCACATGTGTCCATCGCGTGTCTGCAGCGAATCCGTGTCCAACACGTGCTAGACACGGATTCGGAACCCAAAACTATGTTTCCAGGTAACCTAGATCTTAATCAGCTCTAAAATTTATTAAGGACATAGCAGGAGCTTTGCAACGGTCACGTTGTTATAGACAAATATAAGAGCCAAGATAAAGGTCCGTACTTAATTAGACAATTTAAGATGCACATTTCATAACAGAAATAAAATGTCATCGCAACAGTCACAATTCAATCTTTCTGTCATGAAGTAAGGAAGCTCCAACCAAGAAAGGTAAAATATCTTGTCATCAGACATGAATCTCAAAATGGAAGCTGACAAATTTATTGAAGATCAGAAACTGACTTTGAAGACACTGGCATGAGGTGGTTGTGTTCAAGCTTGATGATATAATAGTCATTGGGGAAAACTGGGGGATACCACCATGCAGATTGACTTGAAATACAATGAGAGTGCATCACGTGAATCTAACTTAACAGGTATCAAGGAACATGTCCGCTACGATGGTTAAAAAACTACCCCACAACTAGAGCCATAATCTGGGTGACCATAGGCATCTCATTGTAAAGACTAAAGGTCACTTATTTTGCCGCATCTAAATAGTCATGCCAACGTGACAACAACCGAATATTGAGGTCCAGCTCAAATGATAAGCCTTATGAATAGGTTACTAGAAGTCTAAGGTTCAAGTACTGTATCTTCTTCTTCTTTTCCCCCCCCCCCTCCTGTTGTTCGTGTCTGTTTCCTTGATCCTGCCCAATACAGTCTTTTCTTTTTCTCAATCTTTCCCTCTCACTAATACACAAACAAACTAAAATACATTAAATTTGTGCGTGCTTTGCATAAGTTTTTAAATTAACATTGAACAATAACAAATGGTGCACATTTTAAAGATTAAAATAGAGGGCGAAAGAACGAGGCGTAATGAACCTATAAATTTATATTTTACTCTCAGACTCTAAGAAACTGGTCCCAGATTGCATACCAAAAGTCATACACGCACGCAATTGTTTAAAAAATTCCCAATTTTTTATGTATTATCATTTATCAATTTAGGTGTAAGGATCATGCTTTTTATATAACATACCATATTCATAACTTTAACTTTTTTCTAATCAAATTCTAAACAGATTTCATTATATGTTCTATCAAATCAATGTCAAGATAGCTTTCTGAAAATATTTAACCACGTGCATTGCACGTGCATAAAATCTAGTATATTTCAATATTCACAAGTAAATTCCAATCTCAATTATTCTTCCATACACATTTCATGCATGGAATTTCTAGTGTCTTCTTTTACACGCCACTGATCAATTGCGTGTTCACATCATAAGAGAAACACAGTTCTACTAAAACAAAACCTCACACAAGCAATTACCATTAGCTGAGTCTTCCTCGTTCTTGAGAATGAGCTTATCTGCCTCCTCTTCTGTTTCTACCTCAACAGGTGCCCCGCCAAAGCTCATGTGATCATACCTCAGCAAGGACTCCTTATCAAATACATACCCAGGATCTAAAGAAACATCTTAAAAATGATTAGAAACCCAGATAATGTTCACATAAATTCAAACAAAAAAGAGCCATATCGAGCTTATATACATACCTCTCTTTGCGTTTACTCTCTTGTCAAATAGCTGAACTGGGTCAGATCCTTCTAAGCAGGCAGCATAAGCAATCAATCTACCATAAAAAATCTTCAAATTACAAACTAATCACAAACTTCAACCCATTATTATTATTGTTATTACTTTTTTTTTGGGTTTATACAACCCACATTTTTACTCTAATCAATTTTAATCCCACCCACTTCAAATATCATTCTTAAACCCAAAATACCCATTCTGAATTATTTTTATACCCACTTTCTGCATTTCATCAATTTTTCATATGGTATTTAAAGAAAAATATCGCAACTTACTGATATAGAAAACTTAAAACATTACTATAGCAAATCAACCTACCATCAAATTCTTTAACTAACAAGGTTATCAAAACTAAGCCCATTAATTCTTTAAAAAGAAGTCCTTAAGAAATGTTTTTTTGCTTAAATACCCCCAAATCAGCCATACAGCAAATTTACCCTCCAAATTTAGATTTATGCTTAATTTACCCTCCCAAATCTACCACACTGACCTAAAATGCCTCGAACTCCACAACTTTAGTTTACTCTTTTAATTATAAATGTACTGAGAACATTCTTTGACATAACTTTTGGGGTGCTTAAATATGGAGCGTAAATTTACGGGGGAAAATTTTTACCATAAAAAATTAAAGGAAAAAAGACAAGATTTTTCCAACTCACAGTGCAAGCTCTCTTGCTGCTCTAGGGCTACTAAACCTCCCACTCTTATCAATCTTTATCGAACCTCCCTTCGAAGAATCATCAGTCTCTGAAGCTGCTTCCAACGTCTCAGCAATGGCGAGGGCGGGAGACAACCGAAGAGGATTTTGAGAAACTGAGGGAAAAGTCAGGTTTTTGAGGGGCTTAGAGCAAAATTTAACGAAGAGGGAGGGCTTTAATGAGGAAGATGAGGGCGAATTTGGGTTTGAGAGATTGAAGGGGAGATGGGCTTTGGGCGAAGAGAAGGAGATTGCAGTGCTCGCTTCCATGTGGTAGAAGATAAGGTTTTTCCTCAGGATTTTGGAGGGGTTTTGGGGCTCAAATACTTTTTGGGGATTGAGCTCGGGGTAGTTTGGGGATTTGATGGTTGATAAATATCTAACCTCCGAAAGTAGGAGTGTAAAATGTAAAAAAGAATAAAAAAGATTTGCACCAGGAAGCGAACGTTTTATGATTCACAACCGAAATAAACTTATTAGTCCGTTTGATTGGGTTGAGCTTGAAACTAGATCGTTAGGCTTCGTTTGCATATCATGGTGTTTTTCTGATTGTGTTTTTGTAAAAAAACATTATGTTGTTTTGGTTTTTTCTTAAAATGTTTTCAAAACACTATGTTAAGTATTTTTTGTCAACACTGGTTTGACCAATTACAACATTAATATTAAACATATTATTAATATATTATATATTAATTATAATAAAATATATTTTAAATAAAATATTATAATATTTAGTTCTATATTATTATAGTGTCATTATAACGTACTTAAATATAATGCTAATATCAATATTGTATAATTATGTAAATATTATATTGTGCTTGAGTTATATTATATCTATTATTATAAATATTATTATATTTCAATTTAATTATATTTTATTTCTCAAATAATTATCTATTTAATTTCACTTTTGCGTATATCATATTTGCTTATTGCTTATATATTATATAATATTTTTATTAATACTGTCTATTTATCTATTAATATAATGTATACTATTATTAATATAGTATAACATTATACTATTATTCATATAAGTATAACTAATTATTAATAATGTTAATACGTATCGTTGTTACCCAGTATATTAGTTTAATAAATTAATATATTATAATTTTCTTTTAATATTATATAGGTATATATGGTTTTTTAATATGTAGAGTATAGACTTAATAGTAATGTTAATATTTATTGATTATATAATAAATATTATTATATTATCGAAATATATTATTTTTACATTTAACATTTTGTTTATCAATAAAATGTATTTCTTTATGTAAGCAAATTATTTTACGTTGTATAATAGATTAATATTATTTATTATGAGTAAATATACTCTTAATATTTATATATATTATATTACTATTGTAGCTATATAAATTATATTATTATAATATGTTATTGATATAGTTATTTTATTATTAAATATAATATTTTATAATTATTAATTTATTACAATTTATTTATTAAAAGATAATAATATTATAGTGATTATACTATTGTATAGTATAATATTATATCATTATTGTATAGTATAATATTATATCATTATTATATTATTATTAATAAATTTTTATTATTTTTATTAGTTTATTTATATTTTATTATTATTTATTATTATATAATACATTATTAACATATTAAGTACTAGTATTTAATAAGCATGTTGATAATAACTCTATGTTAATTACATTTAATCTATTATGTTAGATATTATATTAGCACATTCTCAAACTCAAAACCAAAATACCAATTTGAAACAGGTGTTGTATTTTAGGTTTGATGATGATTTAGCTCAAAAAATACATCGGTTTCCAAACGCATGGTGTTTTCTTTTTGGCAAAAACACTATGGAAACAAGTAAAACACAATGGTATCTAAACGGAACCTAAGTAATTTGGACAATATGAAACTAGACCACAGGTCCACGACCGCATCGGAGCCTAATCAAAAAAAGAGTATAAAGTATAAACCAACGCATAGCAATTGCATATTGTGTTTGGCAAATCCATGAAATTGGGTTAGGATCGATTCTAACCCGGTTTTGGGTTAGTTTTTTTTTTGGCAAAAGCTGGGCTAATTCTGGCTCAGTTTCTTCTAAGCAGGAGGCTGAACATAGGTTTTTTTTCCCACCCATCCATGGATATAAAAAAAAGAACCAGTTTATCTCAAAACTGGTTAGGATCAATCCTAGCACAGTTTTGAGGAGTTTGCCAAACAAACTAGCGCACCCGATAAACTGCGTGTGTGAGCAACAACTTGTACGTCCTATTAAAAATAATAATACAGAAGTTATAGTTGTAAGTAAGATGGAATTGATTGGATTTGGGTGTTAGATGTATTACACTTAATGAGCTTTGGTTGGGATATAACTACGAATATGGTTTTGGAACGAATAGTAGACATGGCTCGTATCGATATGAGTTGTGAACTTCAATTGAAATTAAACTTATCACTCGATAAGTAGCGTGTTTTGGGCTTTGATTGGGTTGGTTAGAAACCGAAGATTATTTTTAAAACTAAACCGATCCTAATTGACTATGAAAATATTGAATTGAACCACAAAACTTTGATTGGTTTATCTAGTTTCAACATTATTGTTCACCATTTGAACCCTCCATCACTTTCTCATTTACCACCGGCTTGTACCACGCGACCTTCTCTTGCTAGGGGTGGTGGTGCCCACTCCAGTGCTCATGGAAGATGTTGCATATATATTTGTTTTTTTGTTTTTTTTCCCATTCAAGACAATTTTAGCTATTGACCAATTACATGAGACACTCAGAGTTCAAAGGATTTAGTGAAATTAAAAAAAAAAGTTCAAATGGTTTTACCAAGACACTCAGAATTCAAAGGATTTAGTGAAATTTTAAAAAAAGTTCTACGGGTTGTCCACAATACTCCCAAAACTCTGGGTTTTCTCGTATTATGTGCTAATTGAATTAATGGTCATTGTATTTATCTTATAATTGAACATTTATATCTATGTTTTAGTTACTTAGATGGCTAATCATGTAATTAAATACTAATTAAATTATTAGTTTTTATGTTTTTTTACAAATTAACATAAATATTTTCATTGAAGTGTCATAAAAAAGTCTTGAATATATTAACCCGTGACGTACTGAATAAACCATATTGTTTAAAAATAAATAAAATTATACAACCCAAATTAACGAAAAACACTAGAAGTGACTAACAATCCAATTATATAAGATAAATACAGTAACTAACTAATGATCCAATTAACCCCTTGAAGTAAAATAGCCGATCGGGTTTTCCGCAACACCCCAAAAGCTCAAGGGGGGTTTCTGAAAAATAAATAAACTCTGACACATCAAAGCCCAAATGGTTGAAACTTTGGGGCGAAAGTGCAATTAAGCCTTTGCTAATGGACGATTCCAAGCTTCGCCATCTCTCTCTCGTCCCTCTCCTCGCGAAATCCTCGTCTCCTTTGCTCTCCCCCCTATCGCGCTCTCGTACTCTAAATTCTCCAACTCATATAACCCTGACGACAATCAGATCCAAAAGCCTAAACTTGATAGCTCTGAATGTTTAATCGCCTCAATTCTCCTCAATTTCACAATGGGGGCGAGCAGAAAACTCCAGGGCGAGATCGATAGGGTGCTGAAGAAAGTTCAGGAAGGCGTCGACGTCTTCGATAGTATCTGGAACAAGGTCCGATCTCAAATCGAGGCTTCAACCTTTTGGATTCTTCTAACGGATAGATTCGATTCCGTTGTAGGTTTATGATACTGATAATGTGAATCAGAAGGAGAAATTCGAAGCCGACCTCAAGAAGGAGATTAAGAAGCTTCAGAGATACCGCGATCAGATCAAGACATGGATTCAATCGAGCGAGATAAAGGACAAAAAGGTGGGATTTTGCCTCTGGTTTGACGTTTTATTAGGGTTTTAGTGCTTGTAACTTAAATTTGGAGGCATCTCCCTGCATTCATGAGGTAGAGGGTTACCTGCAATTTATTCTTCCAAAAAGACCAATGCAGCGGTGTTAAATGCTATGAAAATAGTTTGGGGGGTGATAAGTGCTACTAAAGATGTGCAATTTATGATTTTGTTAAAGAGGGAGTGAACTTTATATTTGTAACTGCTGCATTAGGCCATCAGTTTCTTGAAGGAAAGGAGGAGTTAAGTAGAAGTTTGTTCACAGAACAAGAGTGCAAGAAATGAAGTAGTTTTTGAGTAGGTGATATGAAATAGTAGTTAAAGGATGAGTTGTTAGTTGGATTTTAGTTTGATCAATTGGCTTTGGTGGAGATTGGGTTGCAACAACATGAACAACAATCTTTGTCACATTTTTTGAGTCGCAGCTACATGAACCATCAAGGCCATGCCGCCACACCCTCTGTTGAATTAGCAACTATCATTTGGTGCGGTTTGGGACAAATTGTTTTATTGCATTCTGGATCTTACACTCATGTTGATGCCATGGTCTTAATCTTATAGACCATCTTTTTGATTAGTGTTTATAGTGGACATGCTACTCTGAAAACTGAAGGTCAGTATCACGCGCCCTCACCCGTTGTTCTCTTTAACTTGAAATTTATATTGTTTGCTTCATGTGCGCATTTGGAGGTTTTGTTTGAAAACTTTGTGTGGCTGGATTAGGCAGTTCTCATTCTAAAATTTGACACCCCAGTCCCGTTCCTCAGTGCTGATATGCACTAGGTAGCAGGTTCATTTTACATTTCCTATACATTTTGATTCTGGATTTTCTTTTGCAAACCCGTCACCAACATGCACCTATATGCCCAAGCCATACACACTGTTGAACACATTTTTCTTTTTTCGGTTTTTTGGGGTAGGGGGAGCATGGGTTGCCCTAATTCAAAAGATTCCTCTGATCAAGTACCTGTTCTAAGACATTGACCAATATCTCATCTTCTTGCCCTCTTTACAATTCCATAAAATGCTTCCTGATAAAAATTTTAGGCCTTTTGATCTTATTGGTTGAGAAATATCTTCCATTCAAATAAGGCCTACGCCCGTTTGTCAGCTGCTTCAATATATTATCCATAGTTTTCTTGGGATTCCTCTTGCAGATGTAGTCACTAGTTAGCTATTGGGTGAAACAAAAAATAAAAGATAATTGAAATTTCCTAATATATCCTAACAGCCACGTTACTAAGCCTGTCAGGCACAAACTGGAAAGAAGAAACTTAATACCAATAGGCAACAATTGTAATAGGCATGTACTAATTGTTATCTTTTCCACACCAAATGAACACAGTTAACTGTTTAGTCCTATGGTTTTCAATTGGTTCTGACAACCTTATATTTTCTTTTTTGAATTTAACTTTCTTCATAAGGCCTGTGACATGTTAGAGAATCCTACGCATGCTACTGTAGACCACTTAAATACTATGTATAATGTAATAAATGAACCTTAAGAATAATTCATTCAGTACACATAATATCTATCTGGGCTATTTGAGACAAGAAAAGATGGAGTTGATGGAGAAATGCATAATGGTTTATTATATACATTTATACATTATGAGAAATATACGTTTTCAAGTTCACTATTTAATTATATAATTTGATGGAGCAATTAAAATTTTACTATTCTGTTCCTCAAGTATGGTATCTTCACATCCTAAAACGAACTAAAATCTATTGCTTTTTCATGAGGCGTAAAAAATTTGACTCATGATTTACTTTACAACATCTGATTCCATATTTACATGAACCAATATACTTGATATAGTGTATTATATATGTGATTGAGTAACTATTGGTTGATAGTTCGGTCCCCACTATATAAAGATCTTGGTTCTACCCATACACACATAATTCTAATCTCTCTCTCTCTCTCTCAAAATTCTCCCTCTCTCTCTCAAAATTCTCCCTTCGTCTTTCCTCCCCCGCCCCTATATTTGTTTATGTGACTTCTGGCACTCATGTAAAATAAGACACACTAATGCTTAGTATTAGGGGCATATTTTGAGAGGTGTGACACTACATTGTATTAGTCAGTCGTGATGGGTAGTTCCTGAAACTGATTCTGTGTAAGAACTCCGGATCGATCTCCCAAATGTAAATAATGAGATGTAACCAGAGAGCATAAGTGCCAATTGATTGCCAAAAATGCCTTGTGTTGCTAGCAGTTAATATTTTTTCCCCTTATTGGTTCAATATACGTGAGAAGAAAGTAGTAGGAAGGACTTTATGGTGTTGATGGCTGAGGAATCAAAAGATAAAAGATAACATACTCTATGTACATATATGAAAAGTTTAACTGATAGATTGATGAATATTTGCTTTGTTTTATGTCTAGATTGCGGATGGTTTAATAGTGCTTAAGCTGGATAAAAGGATTGGATGAAGATAGATGGATCTGCAAGAGAATTCCAAATTTGATAGATTGGTACATATGCAAGGCACTTTGGTTAAGGCCCTAATTTTCCTCCATGTTGAGCAGTCCTTACTCCTATTTTCCTTTTGATTAAAACCTCTGATCAAATAAAATGGCAGTGTGTCTGATGTAAATGCCTATTTTTGGCTCAAAATTAGTAGGTTTGAAAGTATATTCCTTTTCCTAACTAAAGCGCTACATTTATAGGGTACTGATTTTTGTACCAGCGTTAATGTTCTTCGCCTTCCGTTCCACACTTTCTTGATTGAAGGGATAAATACCCAAACGAGATCTGGTTTTTGAGACTGTTCTCAGCTAATATCTATAGCCAGATCATATTTGTGGAGGACTACTATCAACATAAGCTATTTTTTGGGGACATATATCCAAATTCCTTTAATTTTATTTAGTCATGTTCTTTTATGCATTCTTGATTTTGAGGCAATCGATGAATCGAAGACGTTGACTTTATTTATGAAGATTAATTAAAAATGATGAGTCTTTATTTTAGGGACACAATGTTGAGGAATGAGATACATATGATGGACGAGAAGATAGATGAAATGTGAATCAATTATGAGTAGTAAACTTTTTTATAAGAAAGTTAGTAATTTTTTGATGCTATCTAAATTCCATTTCATGTATAACTGATACAAATTTGAGAATAATGTATCTATTGCTACTTTCTTGAATTATGTAGTCTAGAACTGAAAATTTCATGCTTTCATTTCAGGAGAATGTTTTCTTCTTCTGCCTGGTGGATATCTTTCTCATCCTATTAGTTTTGAACTTCAGTTTATAGCAGCTTGGATATTCTAGCTTGCAAAAACTTCTGATCAGGGAAATTTTTTGAAGTGATATGGAAAAGTTTTTTGTTTTTGTTTTTGAAGCAATACTCAATTGTCAATAGTTTTACCTAAAAAAGCTTGTACTTATATTACTTTGTGCATATCTTGCTTAGCTAAGGTTCGATTTCAGTTTAAAGTTTTGTATATAGCTGGCAGCTGGACAATTATTTTTCACTTTTATATGATCATCTTTAGTGATGGCTGTACTCTAACTGACTCAGAGTGAAAGATGTCTCCTGACTTTCCTCTAAATGTGGGTTTTTTGATTCTTGGTTGACAATCCATTTTATCATATATTTTTGACATAGGTTAGTGCCTCTTATGAGCAGGCTCTCATGGATGCTCGGAAGCTTATTGAGCGTGAAATGGAAAGATTTAAAATATGTGAGAAGGAGACAAAAACTAAAGCTTTCTCCAAAGAAGGGCTTGGCCAACAACCCAAAACTGTAAGCAATATTTATCTCTTTGCCTGTATGTCACTGTGCCATCAGTTTAAAGTCTCTGCAGCTTGTAACGTCACAAGTTCTTTGTGAGTTTGTTGCACCTTCATGTTAATTTACATAAAACCAGCATGCCATCCATTTCAAGTTTTTTGTGGTTTCTGACATAATGAATGTTATGTTTCCTTTTAACAAAAAATCATTAAGATTGAGTTGATACTACAATACCGATCTGATGACTATTTTGTAACAAATGCTGGTTATCACAACATGAATCAGCCTGCTACTTTTCAGTTCGACAGGTAGAAAGGTTTCCAGTGTATGATACATTTTCTGAAATCCTAGTGATTTCCTTGGAGACGTACTTGTGGAAAATTTTGATTGGATACTGTTTCTATTTCTTCTTGATATCCTTTCACCTTCTATGCACGATTCACTTGCTATTTGTAAACCTCGGAGACATTCTTCTTGACAGTTCTGATGAATAATTTTCTATTTTCTCCTTGATACCTTTTGGATATCTTCGGTTATATCACATAGGTTTAATAAGTCGAAAAGTTATAGATTTCAATCTTTGTTCAGTTTATGTTATTTGTTTATATCCGACGCCATCTAGTAAGTTCATCTTATAAATTTAGCGTCGTTGGATACTTGTAGTTTTTGAGATCTATGCTTCATATGTGGTGCATGCCCCACTGCACACTGACATTCCACTGCTGCTGAGGCTTAAATTTTTTTTTTGTTACCAATTATATGTTCAAAGTTTCTTAACGTTTTTATTTTTTTTATCACGAACATCTTAAAGGATCCAAAAGAGAAGGCTAAATCCGAGACAAGAGACTGGTTAAACAATGCGGTATGTAATAAATTTCACTATCTATAACTTGAGGTTTACATCTTTCTTTCCTACTTTTGTTGCAAAACATTTATATCTGATTGCTGATATCCATGTTGCTAGCCTCCTTTTTAATTGTTTTTACTGTTGCATTTGTGTATATCATGTTTTCTATACGACTATTTTGATTAACCATATGTGGTAAATTATAACTCATGCTCATTCTTTGCTACATGAAGAAAGTAGCATGGTAGTCTGTATATGATTTACTGAGGCTATATATACTGGATTTGGTATCACATTTTGGGCTCTCAATAGTATTTCAGCATGGTTTGCAGTTATACACTGTCTGGGATCCTTATGGCATGTCGGAAACAGCATCAACTAGAAAGATGATTTATTTTGAACTATTTTGGTTCTGAATGTAATGCTAATTTTTTTGATAGATACGCTTGATTCTTGTATATACAATATTCACTTTGAATCTGTTATTGATACCAGTTATACTCTTCATACTTTTTGTCAAAGAAACATAGTATGAATTTTGAGAACATAAATTGAATCATGGATTCAAATAATTGAGGCCGAACTTCCTTTTCCAAGAAGAATAAATTGTAGAGGGACATTAATTATAAGTGTCATATCTGTACTCATGCTTAATTGTTTTGTTTTGTGGTTAAGCTATTAGTTACCATTCTCATACTACAGAGATATGGTGACATATACATATACTCTCTGCAGGGCGGATGAACTTCTATATTGTGTGAGTGCGATTACTACATATACTTTCCATATAGTATGGTATGTATCAAAATCTAAATAATTCCATTAATTCTGGGCTTTGTTCTCCAAGTTCTACAAAGAATAATACTTTGATTACATAAAGTAAACCAGTAATGCTTCTCAATTGATTATTAGTATTTATAGAAAGGAAAATTCAATCGATCTCATCTGCCACCTATCAAATTTAAAGCCAGTGCCACAATGTTAAATTAAATACTCAATTCCTCTGAATAATCAAATTTAACTGGGAAAAAAAACTATGGGGGGGGGGGGGAATGATACCTTTTTGATGATTTCACCAAACAAAAAAAGGATAAAAGATCTCTGGTTGCCTCCTCTCTACACATGCTTGTGAGAAAATATGGCATTTATTTTGTTGATGGACAATTAAAATTTCATATGCTTGTCATAAACTATTTTAAGCAAAAACCTTTACAACTATTTTACACAACTATTACTTATTGAGTCATAGGCTGCTAATGTTTATCAAGAAATTTTCTCATTTTCCCTTGGGTACTTGAGCCACATGGAAGGATTTTTAGCACGAAGTTGCTTTGCAAGGCATAATATACAAGGGTAAATAAACATATTTCACAATAAAAATGAAGTTTGACCTCTTCTATATGACCTGGGTACTTCTAATCTGAAGCCGTACCCAACACGTAGCTGTACCCAAACTCATTGGGTAATCGTTGCATATATGCATACATTTATTTGGGCATGTACTCAATTATACAATACACTTTTTAATTTAAAACACTTGTCATACATTTTTTGAACATATGTCCAACATTTCACATCCACTTACCTAAACTCATTGGACATAGGTCAGCTTTCGAGTAATGATTTTGAAGGGCCACTCGGATGTCTAGTTCAAAAACTAGTGATTTTCCAATTTATAATCCATGCAATAAAAGAAACACAAAATTCTTATAGGAATTTTAATTATCATCCTTGTTTTCATATAAATTATTAATTCCAATATATAATATTTGTGTATATGAATATATAGAAAGCCATGTCCCCATACTCTACATTTTTTACAAATTTACCGTGTCCCGTACTCATACGCGTACCAGTACCGGCACCTGTACCCGTACATATGCAACACAGGACCTCTTTAAATTTGGCTATCTGATACTGAAGTTAGATAACTACTTTATCGAAGAACTGGTAGGTTGTAGCAACAATGTTTTATGAGAATACTTCACACTCGAACACGTTTTTGTCGCAGGACCTTGTTTTTATGTTTTATTTTTGTTGTTAGGACACTCACGTTATAATTCTTAATTGATTACCGTAGGCCCTAGAGTACCGTCTGAAGCCTCAAAAACAAATATTGTGCATCATACCATCTCACTGAAGGTTATGATGAACTCTATTGCAACAAAAATTGTCATTTTAACAGGCTTCCAACGACATACCAGCAAGTATTATTGTGTTAGATGATGATGCCTACTTGATGTATAGATTCATTTCCCTTCTAGAGTTCATTTGCTTTTTTCAGTAAATATTATGAGCAAAGATTATACTTCAAATGTTGTGCAATGAATCTGTAGTTGCAAGACAGCCAAATGAAAAGGTGATATGGTCGTCAAGGTCACTTGGCCTATCCCTATGAAAAAATATCATACAACCTAAACTGTTTTACCTAACTTGCTGGAACTCTATTGATTATAAAGCTTTTTCTTGGATAGATGGAATGTTCTGGGCAATCTTTTTGAATGAGACTCGAGTGCCTGCCTTACTATTTTGTTTATGTGGAATTTGAGTTGTCTTAATTTTCTATTCTTATATGGCTTTTTTTGACAGTTGGGGAAATATTTATTAATAAGCTTATTTGACCTTATAGGTTGGAGATTTGGAGAGCCAAATTGATAATTTTGAAGCTGAAGTGGAAGGATTTTCCGTAAAGAAAGGAAAAATGAAAAATCCTCGGCTGGTATGTTGGGGAAGAGTGTTTAAAGCAGTCATATGTCAAAAAGAAATTATTATAACTGTATACAACAACAGAACTATGGTTTAATCATTTTTCATGCAAATACCTAAACCTTTTTTATAGACGCATCTAGAGACATCCATTGGTCGTCACAAAGCTCACATAATGAAGCTGGAGTTGATTTTGAGGCTGTTGGATAATGATGAATTGAGTCCTGATCAGGTTAATGACCTTAAAGAATTTCTTGAAGATTACGTGGAGTGCAACCAGGTGAGCTTCTACTGGACAGTTTTGTACACTAAAATAGTTTTGGAAATTTCTGGTATGGATTCTAACTTCTTCAGGCCACATTTGAAGGACGATTTCGAAAGATTTGGCGATGTTGACGGATTTTACAGCTCTTTACCACTAGAAGTGGAAGCACTTGAAGATCTGGTCACTATTCCTTCTGGACTTACTAAGGTAATTCTAACTTACATTTTGACTTATGTGCTACATTTTTATTATTATGGAGAAATCCTTCTAAAAGAAACCTTGTGAATTGGAATTTTGATTGTTTTATATTGTGTCATATTCGCCTCAAGTAAGCTAACTTATTTTAGAAGTTCCTAAGCTTTATCCATATAAGAGTTGTTCCTTCCATCATATGATGATTATGTCTTTATGCAATTTAGCATTCATCTTTTGCTGAGCTATCATGTTATATATGCTTTGCTCATTGAGACACTACTCTCTAGTATCTGGTTTAGATATTCTCATGATTGTTTTTTGTTCACAGTCGAGATTCTCTTGGCTTGGCTCTTTTTTGGTTGATAAATGAGTTTCTGTACTTCCATTAGAATTTTATTTATATGCTGAAGGCAATTGCTCATATTAGGAAACAAAGTGAACTTTCTTTTAGAAACCTAAGCATTGTTTCAACACTTTTTTTGATGTTGGTTATACATTAAACTCAACTATAGGAGAGAGCTATTTATTGCTTCCTCGTCACTTATGTGAATTTATGTTTAAGATTTATAAATGTAGCTTGTGAGTTTGGAGTTTAAATTTGAGGCATTTATTAGGTTCACCCTTTTACCATATGTATTTTTGAGGCATCTATCTTTTGCACACCAGGCGGCTTTGTCATTAGCCAGTCAGCAAAATACTGATCAAGATCAAAGTGAAGAAACAGCTTCTCAGGACAGTAATTCAGACATCGCTCTGAAAACTCCACCCTCTAAAACTGGTTCTATGGGGTCTTTGGTATCAACAACTTCCCCCAGCCTTGGTCCTGGAATGCCAACAGGACCTAGCCCAGCTACTGCACCTAGTGCTTCTGCTCGACCGATAGTTGGGCCTAGCATGGCTGCAATACTTTCCAGTCCAGTAGATGTTCGAGGTGTCATGGAAAGCCCAATTGCTGCGTCTCAGTCACTTGTAAACTCAAATTCAGTCAAGGAAGATGATGACAGTACCTTCCCTGGCCGCAGACCATCTCCAGCTATACCTGAAATTGCACTTGGGAGAGGCATTAGCAGCGGGGTATCTAATCAAGCAGCTGTCACTGCCTCCAGTTCCATGAGCCCACTCAATGGGATTTCTGGCTATGGAGATCTTGGTTCAGTTCCTGCAGTATCTGACATGAGTAAACGAGAGATGTTGAGTGTTGATGAAATAATGGGAAATGGTGATCTTACTCCATCTTTGGCTTCTCCTTTAAGTAATAGAGCGCAGCAGGTCTCCAAAAGTAATGATGTGACGAGTTCAAATGGTACTAGTAATGTTGGAGCGAGTCCAGCTATTAGTGGAAGACTTTTTTCACCCTCCATTACTACTGGAGTTCAGTGGAGGCCTCAAAATTCAGCTGTATTTGAGAATCCAAACGAGATGGTATGTTGTCCCTTGCTACCTCTAGTTCCGTGTCATTTCCCACATTTCCACCTCACAGAAGTAATTTTATTTAACTTCTTTTTCCACTATCAACTTACTGGAATTTTTGTATTTAATGTGACATTGACCAATATTTGTCCTTTAATTGCCAAGAATATGTACTATCTTACTTAGATGTAAACTCTCAAATATGTTGTTTGTTGATGCTCATCAAAATATCTATCCATGAAACTAAAATTGACTACTAGGAGCAAGGATGGTACATTCATGTCATCTATCAATTCATCTTACATTGTAATTGGATCGACAAGGTCTACGAGGTGTCCATACTTACCTGACATTCTTTCTTCAGGGTCAATTTCATGGAAGACCTGAGATTTCTCCTGATCAGAGGGAAAAGTTTCTGCAGAGATTGCAACAAGTGCAACAACAAGGTCATAATACTCTTATTAATGTTCCTCATCTCTCAGGAGCAAACCCCAAGCAGTTCTCTATGCAGCAACAGGGCTCACTTTTACAACAGGTTCCATCTTCCTGAATGTGGAGCTTTATTGCTTCCTGTTTTTTTGAAATTTATTTACAGTCATCGTCCTTTTGGTGCTATGGACAGTATTATCTTCCGACACAAGTTTTTCCAATCCATAAATTTTCTTATTAATTTTGAATAAAAGGAATTCTTTATGCAAATATCTTAATTTATTACCATTTTATTTTTATCACAATAGAGTAAATGAGGTTTAAACTCGATGGGTTATTGTAGATGACATAAACTCATTGTACTCAAATAGCCACAAATATGCGTGCAAAAATATGTAATAACTAAGAAAACCCACGTACAATAGTGTACCTTGTAGGATACTTAAGTTAACAAGGAGATTAGGGGACTATTCGATATGGTAAGTTTAGATGCTTTGGTTCAGTTGATTGTTTTTGATATTTGATCTTGATCAGAGAGGTGGTGCAACTAGGATATTTTTTTTCTCCATAAAACTGTAGTCTAGTGTTACAATGCAATCATCGTGAGCAATTTATTTGGTGAGATTGTAGGGAAACTAGGAGCACAAGGCTGATTGTTGACTCCAGTTCTTAATAGTTCAATTTGATAGGGAGCGGACGGAGGGCTTCGATCAGATGGCGTGTGAATTTTTAACATGAAGTCTTTGAAAACTATTTGGATCTGTTCGACGGTTTGATGGATTGAGACTGGAACTCATAGGAGAAGGTGAGCACTTGGACGCACAGGAAAAAGTTTGGGGGGGGGGGTTGAAGGTGTCACTGCCCATTAGCAAACAGTAAGCTGAATCACCGTTCATACAGTGAACAGTTTTCCGGATACTGTTTATTGAAGAGCAGCAATGCTCAAGCACCCCCCCCCCCCCCCCCGGGGTTGTTTAAAATAGATCAAGGGATAATATTTAAGGAAGGTCTTGTGGGGCTTTTGGATGGATGGCTAGGATTGAAAGTGAAGGGAGGTTGAGATAAATCATAAATAACTAGCTTCACACCTAGGGGTCTCAGACCTGAGGGCTTCACATCCTAAAGAGACAATCACATGCCAAGAACACCTCACATGCTCAAGAGAGATTTCTTAAACTCAATTTTTTTATTAATCAAGGTCTAATTCCTCGTGGAGGAATACAACTTCATTTATAGAGAAAAAGTAAATCTGTAAATTAAATTAAATTCTAACTAAAAGGAATCAAAATAAAATTCCAAAAAAAAGTAAACTCAACGATCCTAAAAGTTCCTAAAATCAAATCTCAAGAAAACCTTTCCTAAAAAAATAAAGATTACATCATATAGTACCAAAATAAAAGAGATTATAGTAAATCCTAAAAAATTTGGATCAATGGCCCACATTGTCTTGCTTAACAATTACTTTAGTTAGCACATATTATTATGTATATTATGGTTTATCTCATGGTAATATGCACATGGTTTTCATTGATTTTGACGAAAGCTTTCATGATAGATTATCTTAGAGATATTTGGTATATTTAGAACAGAAACAAATGGCTAGCAATTGATTGATTTGATTAAGCATGTGTATTGTGGAGTAGAAACAATCTTGAAGAAAACTGTATGGAAGGCAAAGGAAAACCATCACCAGAGGGTTATTCAAAAGTTGAAAATTAGTCATTATCTCTTTTGTTAGTTGTCGATGAATTATTGGGCATATTTAAACAAAAAAGTAATGGCGTATATTATTTTTGAAGAGTACATGCTATATATGGATACATTTTATCAGGTGACGAGTCTATTTATTTATGGAGATGTATTAGCTATGAAACAATTGATCGGGTGGAGGTGATATCTTCTCTTTTTGTGCTTTTGTTGAAGAATTGGCTTTATTTCAATCTGAACTCTTTAGCAGTTAGGGTATATTTATTAGTCCTCAGTGAAGAGTTCATGTTGAGGTATATGTCAAATAATAACAGTTCAGATTCATGAGAAATGCAATCACCTTTTCCAATTTAATGAAAACAACAGTTATGATATCGTGGGATTCTGAGGTTATTAGTTGTAGATTGGGGTTCTTTTTAATCATTTAACAAAATTATCAGCTACAGAGAGTGTATGATTAACTTTTTTTTAATTATCAGCTGCAGAGATTGTATGATTGACTCTTTTTTCTTCTGTGAATTAATATCCTATTTCTGAATCTAAACATATTTGATTTAGAACTATCAAATTTTAGGATCCTATGTTACCTAGGTACATCTATTAGGAAGTCGTACCGTACTCGTACCCACACCTCTTGGACACTTCTTGGATATATGCATATGTTTATTCGGGTGTATACTCAATTATATAATACATGTTATAATTTAAAACACTTCTCATACACTTCTTGGATGTATATTCTATACTTCACATCTATTTCTTATATATTAATCTTTTGTAAAAGAAAAAAATATTGATCTTAAGTAAATTGTTAATTTTAATGTATATAAATATATAACATGTATATATAAAGCTGTGTCCCCATACCCTACTTTTTCAAAATTGCCATGACCCGTCCCTGTACCTATCCTCGTACCCATGTAAGCTAGGACATTAGATGCCATCCTAGAGATGGGGGTGAATAGGTTTGCCTACTATTTTTTGATAAACATAACATATGCAATGGAAAATAAAGCAATATAATAAAACATTAAACAAAGCAATAAACTCAAAATAATCAGAATCGATCACAACCATAATACAGTAGATTTTATAGTGGTTCGGATGAGCAATCCTACATCCACGCTTCCTTCTCGCGAAGGGGCTTCCTTATTATGATGAAAGTTCTGTTGAATCACAAACTCGGTTCAGTAGGCTTATAATACCGAGACCCTAATTTACCCAAACTAGTTGTTCTAACCTAAACTCTTCACCGTGAATAACCCTAACTCTAGCTACTGACCAATCCTTCAAATCAATTCCGACTTGATTACGTAGTAAACCCTCAATTCACACCGGCTTGAGTACACTGTAAAAACAAGTTTAAAACGATCTAACAATTATCAATTAAGTGCAACACAAGAAGATCTTATAGGCGTTTGATTATACAAACCGTTCTTTAAAGGATATAAGCAAAACTCGATGAAGAACGTTGTTGATCTTGAAGTCCAAGGGAAACACTCCTGGAATGATCGGATGATGTAAAATAACGTCAAGGATGCAAATTGAGAAGTCTAAGAAAAAAACAATCACCAAAATTGAAACCTTAGATCTCTCTCTTCTTCTCTCTTTTTCTCTATGAATTAGGTCAGGAATTCTCTCATAAAATCGTGAGGAAAGAGCCTTTAAATAGCTTCAGCAAAAATGGTTCAGATTCATCTAAATCAAATTAGGAATCTGATTTTATCCCGCCACTCTTAGATGAGCGGGTTGGCTCATCGATGAGCATAGCCCTAGGCTCATCGATGATCAAGGCCTTATAATCAATTTTGCTCTCTCTTGTTCTCTGTTCTTCCTATACTCATCGCTGAGCTTGACCTCCTCACCGATGAGCTCAGCTCCAGGCTCATCGATGAGCTGATTGTCTCATTGATGAGTAACACCCTATTTTGCTGATTTTGACTTGTTTCTTGCTCTTTTCGCGTTCATACTTAATTCTAACTTGTTGTAACCTATGTACAATATCTCAAAGACATATTAGACCAATGTGGAAGTTTACTATTTATCAAACTAAGTCAATTGTACGGACACATACAAACACAGTCCTAACATCGCATACTGCAATATTATCTATAGCCGATGCTTTTCTTGTCATGGCTGGTTGAAACCGATGCTTTTTTTGGCCTTGGAACGTAAATACAATTTATAGAGATTTTAATTTATTAAGCATATAGCTACTGATTATTTTTTATCATGGAAAATAATCACACTTTACCCCAGGACAATTAATTCTTCTGCCTAGACTTGTACTTGAGCTGAAATTGGGGCTAAAACAGATAAACCCACTTAATATTTCCTTCATCAGGAATGCAGGATGGTTGTTTTATGAGTTGATACATATACACAAATGTACATGCTATTCTATATACGTGTTGTCTCCCGCAGTGAGTTTTCCTTGAGGGCCACATTTGTAATTTTTTGAGAAAAATATTAATTTGTGAAGTTGTCACTAAAAATTTCCTTCGGAGCCCATCTATTGAGAAAATGGTTAGTTGTAATTATCATTCATGTTACTTGCTTGATTACAATTAAAATCTACTAGTCTTTTAGTGCATGCAATGCGTGCTTGAGACAATATACAGTTGACTCATCAAGAAAGAGTCCTAATGTGAAATCTGAAAGAAAAAAAGAAAAGAAGTAAGAGCCCCCGGACTTGAGAACTTGGAAACCTAACACAAAATCTGAAAGGAAAATGCCATTGCTTTTGGTTCATGAATGAGTACCTTTCAACTTCAAAGAAATTGAACATGGCACAATAAGCCTGTGAATAAATTTACAAGCAACAGTCTTATTTTTTCCCCTTCTAGATATCTGTTCTTATGCAAACATTTGTAGATGAAAAATCACGTTATGCAGAAACAAGTGATGAACAACTGAATAAAATTTATTTGTTCTATTTGCATGTCAAGTTAGAATTAGAAATCACTGTTGATAAAGACAATCTAAATAGGTGTTTAAAGAAATATTCAGTAAGTTGACAAATTCAAGATGGAGAACTTCCAGTGAGTCAAAATCCTCTTCCTATTCTCGCGACAAGATATTTTGCAGTATTTATGATTATGTGAAGGCATGTAGTTGATGCATAATATACACACACCTTGTCTAATGTGTTGCAGACATGCTTACTAGAATAGTAGAATCCATGACCCTAATCATTTAGGAAAAATTTTCAAAACCAACATGTTTGTCAAAAAAATCCCCAAAAAAGACCCGTTTCAAACTTAATTTCAAAAACCGACCCAGTTGGGTTGAAACTGGATCGGTTTTTGAAAAAAAAAATTCCAAACTTCACGGGAGTTGGAAGTCCCGTGAAGTTTTGTTATATAAAAAACTTCACGGGACTTCAACTCCCGTGAAGTTTGGGAGCTTTTTTTTCAAAAACCGACTCAGTTTCAGCCAATTGGGTCTGTTTTTGAAATTAAGTTTGAAATGGGTCTTTTTTGGGAATAAAATTCAAAACAGGTCGGTTTTGAAAATTTGTCCTAATCATTTATTAGGTATGGGTTAATATATTTTAACATTTTCTGCATGTGCAATGCGCATGAATGTAAGCTGAAAATTAGTGCAGATTTTACAGAGAGCATTTCTTTGCTTCAAGGTGTTCCATACATCTTGGGCCTACGTTCTGTGAGAAGAGTATTTGGTCTGTAAAATTCTGCTTCTTGTAATTAGGCCCCTCTTCCCTAGTTTGTGTAAACAGAATTTTAGTATCTAAAAACTAGTTGAGAAGTATCAATACATATCAAATAAACTTCATTAATCTAAACAGAATTTCTTCATAAATTTGTAAACCTGTTTGTGTATTTGTTATGGATGTGCGCGAGGACAAACACAATTTATATGCAATTGGATTTTTCCCTTGAGTATGCATTAAATATGGCAAAGGCTACTGTTATATTCCAGTGCAAAATGGCAGCCATGTATTTTGTTAAACTTTGTGGCAGTATGATCTTACTGCATACTATGGCATGTACTGATGTTTAAATTTTTTTTCCCTTCTGCTTCTTTTGTGCTAATGACCCTTTGCCAGACATTTTTTATTCAAAATTTAGTTTTTCTGTAACAGTTTAATTCTCAATCTTCATCACTGTCACCTCAATTGGGACTGGGACTTAATATACAATCACCGGGCCTCAGTTCTGTTTCATCTGCACAGCTACAACCCCCCATACATCAACAATCATCTCAGCCTTCACTGATCTCAACTGCACCTAAAGACTCAGGAAAGTCCAGCATTTTCTACATCTTTGTATTCAGTTCTATCTGATTTTCACTTATTTTACATAAAACGTCATAATAATGCAGATGTAGGACACTCCAAAGGAGATGAGCAGCAGCAGCAGAATTTTACCAATCATTTGAATGTGGAATCTAAAACGAATTCCACTCTTAGCAAGATCGTAAGTGATGAAGGTTTGAAGTCGCCATACAAGGTAAAAACATATTCATATCAAACGCTTTCTGTTCTATACTTCCTCCATTCAATATATTTTTTAATTTATTTTCTGCTGGACAAGTTAGGGATAACTTTAAATGTGTCTTTGAATTCATATGAGTAGAATTTTCTGCTCTGAGAGTATGGACATCAGGAAGATGGAAATAATATTCTATTATATTCTATTTGCTCGTATTTTTTCAGGATATGTAGATTTGTTTGAATGGATGGGTATTTCTGCTATGAGTTTGTCAACTATACTCCCAGTAGTTCGTAAATCTGTGTTTATTCTGAGTCATTAAAATTCTGTGTGAGGGTGCGGAAGTGAGTATTGTTTGCGTGTCCATATGTCGCCATCGCATGGCTGTATATGTATCTGTGCAGGAACACATGAATCCTGAAGGTTGAGAACTTGGCAACATATGCAAATGTGCATAAGGGAGTCTTCCATGTGGAGTTTTTGAAGGTGTACTGAGCATATTAGCAATTTAGCATAGTGAGAGTATATGATGGGTTAACTGTGTCTTTGCAAGTGTGCTCTCTGAATTTTTAAGCGGTTAACAGTTAATTTGTAATTCTCTACTATCGTCATAGTACGCTTATATGTTTGATGAAATTATTGTCGACTGTCGAGCTAATTCTGCTTATGCTCATGGAAATTTGCATCATGCTTGATATTCTATAACTGAATTTCTTAACACTTGTTGAATGCACAAGTGTCCATACAATGTGATGCATGCTTAATTCTTAAAGCAATCAGAAAAGTTGTATCAAGTGCCAAGGTCACATTACATATGTAAATATATTCAGGTTCAACTAGGAAACAGCAAGAAGAGACTTGTTTTACACGCAATGCGAATGTAATATTAAATATTAAGAATATTAGCTATGATGACAAAACTTGACCTTTCTTCAGCAGTCACTTATATGAATTATCTTTCTCAATCACGCCACAGGTCCATTACTAGGTATTTAGTTAAACTATTATTTCCTGGAAAAACTCTAGCATATTGTTCAACTTGGATTTTTGTCGACCAGAATGAAAATAACAAATATTGTAAATTTGTAAGTGCCAGAAAGAACTGAGTTATTTGCCTGTATACCCTTCAGTAACTCATCATTTTGCTTATTTACCTTCCAGAAACTGCTTGCTGTACATCCTTCAAGAAATATTAAATTTTTATGTCTGTTGCAGCAAACTAATATTCTAAATTATTATTTAATCCTTTAGGAACTGAATTATCTAGTAGAATTGAGGATGCCGTTCATAATCTTTTTTATTGTTTGGACTCACTCTACCTTAGTTAAGATTGAACTTCTTCAACATTAGATAATGTTCAGTATTTTCCAGTGTGATTAATATTTCATATTTAGCTTAAATAGTCATATTCTCCTTATCCATGATGTAGGTTTCTCCCTCAAAATATAAGACTTCACTTTTACCGTCTATCACAGAGTTATGATTCCTTTAAGGGAATTAAATAGTATTCTGACATATTTGGTTGCTATTAAAACTAGTAGTTATTGAGATTTAACTAATGGATATATCTATATGAGCGCCATTGAGTAAAGTGCAAACTTTAATAGCTATTAGTAATGTTTATTGTTATTAGCGGATGCATATACAATTAGAAAATTTTGTGGGGGCAAAGCTAAGCTTTTGGAGGCTATATATGCCCCCCCCCCCAACCCTATATATATATATATAGTGTGTGTGTGTATCAGCATCAAAATAGATCTCTTATTGATTGAATAGAATAAAGCTGCACATCAATTTCATATATGTGACCCTGTGTGTGTGTGTGTGTGTGTGTGTGTGTGTGTGTGTTTAAATTATGTATTATGTATGTTTGTATGTGTGTGTATGCGTATGTGTATATGTTTGTATGTGTGTGTATGTGTATGTGTATGTGTATGTGTGTATATGTATATGTATATGTATGTCTGTGTGTGTGTAATAAAAATACTGCATGTGTGTGTGTGATAAAAAAACTGGATTTCTTAACTGGAAACATGACTTTTAAAGTGGCACCCTGGATGATTTGAAGGCAAGTCTTAACATTTCTTCATGTGAAATTAATAAACAGCTTTTGCAAGACATGGTTTATAAGGAAATATTACTTCTGATGTGCTAAGAACTTCAGAATGAAGCACTCTTTATAAGGCAGTAAGAGATAATTGTGTTATCAGACTAGCAGTTACTTTAGTATGATTTGTCACTTCCTTTTTCTAAACCTCAGCATATTGTATATGTTTGCATTCTTCTTGTAATTGTTTGCTTTCGTATTTTTTCTAAGCAGTGTGCAACATTTGATTTAGTATCTTTTGGCGCACTAGTTTATGTTAATATGTCTTGAATCCAGAAGGGGGGTTGAAGGTAATGATGTGGTACTTAGTGTTGGCTTGCAGAAATGGAATGTAGGTCTCCCAAATAAATCCTGCGCATGTAAAATTCTTCTCACATCAAATACCTTCCATATCATTTATTTGCCATGGAACTTTTAAAGTTACAGATGTTTAAATCTGAAGAAAATCTTATTAATCATTTTAGAACTTCTATCAATCTGTTTTCTCTAGTGAGAGAGTCAAATTGTTTTGATGGTTGGAATTGATGAGTATGCAACAAATAAAAAAGTTTGCATACATTAGATTAATGTAGACAGTTGCTGTTTCCTGTTGCAGGCTGCATGTTCTTCCACTTTGGCAGAAAGTAACCAATTTTCAAATAACTCTGATCTCTTACCTGGGCAGCCATTGCAACCAACTCAGTCTTCGGCTAGCCATGGTGTTATTGGACGAAGAAGTGTCCCAGACGTAGGTGCCAATAACTTTACCGCCTCAGCTGGGAATACCAGCATTATGCATGATCAGACATACAACATGCAGATGCTGGATGCTGCATTTTACAAACTTCCTCATCCCAGGGACTCAGAACGTGCAAAGAACTATATTCCAGTATGGATTCCTAGTTCTGTATAGCTTGCAACATCTCCCTGTCTCTTACAAGAACCCACACTTTAGTATTTAATTTTTTTACCTTTCCAATTTTCAGAGGCATCCTGTCGTAACTCCTCCAAGCTTTCCTCAAACTCAGGTGGGCATTGTTGAAAATCCTGCCTTCTGGGAAAGAATGAGCATTGAGCAGTTGGGCACTGACACCTTGTTCTTTGCATTTTATTATCAACAGGTATCTTAGTGGTTCTTAATTAAAATTCTGCAGTGTGTCGTGGTCATTTGTTTATATCTTATGTTAAGACATAATGCTGCAGAATACTTACCAGCAATATTTGGCTGCAAGAGAACTAAAAAGGTACTCATGGAGGTATCACAGGAAATATAACACATGGTTTCAACGGCATGCAGAACCAAATGTTACTAATGATGAATACGAAAAAGGAACATATGTCTACTTTGATTTTCATATTGCAGATGAACCACAGAATGGATGGTATGCTACGTTCTTTCTTCTTCATCTTCTTTTTGGCTTATCAGGGTTTCATATCTTTCAGTATGTTTTTTTGAAATGATTATTTTGTCAGGTTGATTTGTTTTGTTTTTTTTAAGCTGAATCATTATTGTATGGTTTTGGCCCTGATTCTAGAATTCCTATTTGTTATGCACCTTTAATTATTTTTTCCTTTATTTGGATTTCACGTCATTCAGTGTCCTTTTTTAATAAATGATTGTGCTAGTAGTCTGCGGTCTTCGTTTTCTACTTAGATCTTATCATATGGTTTAGTTTTATTTCTGTCGTTCTGTTTGCTATCTCAATCTTTTAATTACTAAGTCCATTGTTTATTATAAATATTCGACTTGTCAGAGAACCAAACATTCAGGGGGGTTTTCTTTCTTTCTTTCTTTCTTTCTTTCTTTTTGGGTGCAAGCACTACAACAAAATACAACATTGCCGACGAAACAAAAACGTCGGCAAAAGTTTAAAAAACACCGGGAAAAATCTTTCCTGACGCAAAATGCAGCGTCGCTAACGCGTCGCCAAAAGTGCGTCAAGGAAAGTATTTGGCGACGCAAATACACTGCGTCGTCAAAAGTACACTTTTGACGACGCGTCATGCGTCGGGAAAATTGTATCTTTTAGCGACGCATAATATTTTGCATCGGTAAAAGTGTATTTTTGGCGATGCATGCAGCGTCGGTAAAAGCTATGCGTCGGCAAAAGTATAGCTTTTAGCGACGCAAAATTGTTCGTCGCTAAAAACTATACTTTTGGCGACGCAAGTTAGCGTCGGCAAAAGTGCAGCTTTTAGCGACGCAGAGTAAAGCGTCGCTAAAAGTTATACTTTTGACGACGCAAGATAGCGTCGCTAAAAGCTATACTTTTGCCGACGCAAGATAGCGTCGGCAAAAGTATAATTTTTGGCAACACATAATTATGCATCGGTAAAAAGTATAATTTTGTCGACACTAATTTGCATCGACAAAAATAATATATTTTTTATCAACTACAAGCCTACACTGAACGTGAACATCCACAAAAAATTTACTCCCATTCACATCAACAAAGAATATCAACTACAAGCCTACACTGAACGTGAACATCCACAAAAAATTTACTCCCATTCACATCAACAAAGAAACCAAACATCAAATTATACTCCAAACAAGTTGCATATTATGATAAACAAAGAATTTGCTCCCATTGCAAAATAATTTCATTCATTTCCATTTCCAAGTCAACACTCAAAGGCCGTTTAAATATTCCAGTTTACCATATTCAGTGTTTTCCATTTCAGAGAATGACACATTATAAGATTTACAGGAAACTAAACTAAGTTGAAAAAAAAAACTTGAAGTGAAAGAACGGCACGATCAGTGAACCTCTTCACAAATGAAAGTATATTCTCTGGTAGAGTTTTTGCGACTCCGTCTAACTCCTGCATTTGTTGCTTCGCAGTCGGCCACAGTACATATCCATAAGCTCTTTCATGTGTGGTAGCCTTTCCATCAGTTCTTTGATTATTTCCTATTAGAAAATGCAACGTCAGATTATCAGCTACATATATATATAGCTCAAACAAATACTATTCGTACAATTTTCAGAATTCATCGCATTTTCCCTCCAACTATTTTGTTAACATTGTGGGAATTAATGCAAGAAGTAATTTATTACCACGATGAACAGATATAGTTTGACTGTTTATTTCTTTTTGTTGTTTAGTCAGGTTGGCTCAAGCATGAGAAACAATTATAAACAGTGGAAAATGGAAATTAGCGTATATCATATATCTAGAACAGAATCATGAAATTCATGGGTACTTTCTGAATGTGACATAAAAGACATTATAATATACAAGAGATGCTAATATTTCATAACTGAATACTTTCTGAATGTGACACAAATGACATTATAATACAAGAGGAATATAGATAAACATACATGTACTGCCAAGGTTATTGAGAATGCTATTCATGACAGCAAATGAATAGCATTGCAGAGTTGTCAATCCCTTGTTGCTATGGGGGAGTGCATACTCCGGAGGTAGAGCCAGACTGCATATGTAGAGAAAGGGGATATAACTATATATGACATTTGCACTTTCATCACTATAAGTCTATAAACATCAAATTATTGTTTATAATTATTCTATTTGGACCATATCCAAGGCACCTGAAGACTTATATATCAGAGGAACCGATATACTCAAAATTTGGGTACATGTGCATTTTGTGTGTGTCAAATACTCGTGATATAAGATCTCATGATTAATTAACGAGGTGTTATAATAAGAACTCATGACACATCAAGCGCATAAGAGTTATCAACGTTGATCATACCGTGCAAACATGAACATCATCACATCCACACAGCAATCTTCCATTAAGCATGTATGTTGCTTGAAATGCTCATCCTCCCTCGCTCCTCTGCACATGGAGAAAAGTTGATCTTAAAATTGCTACATATCCTATAAATTAAGTGAACATCCATAGAAATTACAAAATCCAATGCAACTATGAATTTAATTTAATTGATCTATTAATTTAACTTTTTGTTTTTGCCCAATGGCATCATAGGAAAAAAAAGTACACACCTTGTAGAAGTCAACGGCCACAAAATTAGTCCAACCGTTGCTGGCAGCACCAAAACAAGTATGAAGCATGTTTATGAGCTCTACTGAGTTATGCTTGCATGTCATGGGTTTTATGGGCACTGAATTGAAATAGTTCACCAAAATTTTTAGCGGAATGCTACTAAAAAGATAAATGTAGTAATTTTTTTTTTAATTTACACATGCTCCTAAGGGGACAAAGTTTCCTTGAAGACTGATCGAGAAAACATTGGGTTTGTATATGTCTTAGCTTAAAGATTACAGAAAAAACAACTATAGAAATACCTGAGACATTTCTTTGCTAAATTAGTAACTAAATATATCGGTGTGTTCTTCTAATAATCCTGATGTGCTCTGAGATCTACGGTCGTACTTCTTCTTGAGTAAAAATCTATCATAATCAATTGGATCTAACGGTCGTCCTTCAACTATTTTACATGCCTGTAATTGATACTTAGAGAACTATAAAACCTCCGAAATTGTTATGTTAAATAAAGATCAATTTTATTAACCTCGCCTTCATTGGCAGATAATTTGCCTTCTTTTGATTTCCTACTTGAAGGCAGGGCAGGTGAGAATATTGAATTGTAAAGCCATACATTTCTTTGAAATATTCAACCACAGATTTCCTTCAACTATTTTACATTTCTTTGAAGTATTCAACCACAGATTTCATGTTGTTTTGTTCGTCAACTGGGAAACTGTCCAGATAAAATTTTAAGAACCATAAGCAATCAGGACATATCCATATTCTTGAATATACATTAACAAAATCAACAATTTAAGTTTCTTACATCAGCTCTCTTGTAGGAAGAGATGTCTGTCCTGAAACTCGATATTTCCTTCGTACGCTTCCTCTATGAGTGACTTCAACTTTTACGCCTCTAAGAGCCTTCTTGATCTGCTCACAGCAATAGTCACTCAGTTAGGTTACTAGGCTGCATGTTATGCTAAGCAAATAGCTTCAACCAACATATGTTGAGGTCATGGGCTCATGCTTACCCGTCAGAAGTCATGTAAATATGATATTCTTTTGTCATGAATGCAACTTGTTCACTATTAAGCCCTGTGAAAGTGAACATCCCGATCTGCTTGATTATGTGACTCCAGTCACCTGGCGTTGTTGCATACAGCCAGACATATGTAATATCATTAGATCCATGAACATGACCAAATAGTAAACAATATTTAACATTTTTACATCTCCTTGGAGATACTAGACTGAGCTATTGGGCAATCATCTAGTGTATCCTCAACATCAATGTAAGGGTCACATAAAATCAATGTCTCAACAGTTTTACAAACTCAAAATAAAACATTATCTGACAAAGATGATATATTTCCTTATTTTCTCAGTACTTTCAATTTCACGCACCTTTAATTTAATTAATTAAAGTCAAAACTAAATACCAACTAGTGTATCTCTCTTTCAGTAAACAAAGCCGATGGCAATACAGCGAAGAACATTGTTACCATGAATGCGTGCATTCAGATCAACATCATCCATGAAGAATATTTTGGAAGACATGGTGGTTGAGTATTTGATCCCATTTTTCTTAAGTAAGAATGGAAAGAAAAGTCACACTTAACAGAGGAGTAAGATTAACTGGTGTAAATTGTTTACCTCTTGTTTGTAAAGCATCAAAAAGCTGTTGGCGCATGCTAATTATCCGATCAGCCATGACCTTCAACTCCGTGGTCCATTCATTGTACATTTCACTAAACCAACGATACAGTTAAGAACAAAAGTCAGTTGCTCAATCATAAAAGATTTTGCTCCCTCCAGATACATCCAACAACATCAGTAAAGAAGCGAGTAGTCGTAGATTAAACAACTGTTGCTCCTCCATACAAAACTGATTTCTTAATGTGTTTGTATCAGTAATAAACTAAAAGATAAATCAAACGAAATAAGAAAGAGAATAGCAATCTTTAGTTTTTTTAAGTTTACTAAGCAATGGAACTTGCATCTTATAGAGTTCGGTAAGAAAAAAGAAAAGCAAATCCTGAAAGTCAAATATAAAAACTAATTTTTGGACGTTACATGAATAAAACCATGGCAGATTCCCGATTTCTTCTCATATAAAAAATATATCATACAAATTTCTCATTTTCCCCCCAATATTAGATGATAATAAGAACGACATACTCTATAGATCTATAGATTCAATCAAAGTAGCAACCGCAGTCTCAATAATCAACACAATTCATGTATATCTACAAGTAATCTGATAGGAAAAATCATAAAAATCAACACATCTAGATCTAAAAAGAGAAAGATCGAGATTAGGGTTTCGATACTCTAGAGATCTGGAAGGCGAACGTCTCAGTCTCGGCCGCCATTGCTCTCAAGGACAGCGAAGGAGAGAGCTAGGGTTTCAAGAGGAGAGTGACGACTTTCAGAGAGGTCTAGGGTTAAGATGGAGGAGGAGGAGGCGGCGAGATCCGACGGAAGCGGCGGTGAACTTCGACGGAGGCCGCGGGTAAATAAAATTGCGTCGTTAAAAATATAACTTTTAGCGACGCTAATTATAAACGTCGGGAAAAGATCATTTTTAGCGACGTTAGCCTAATACGTCGCGATAAATGCATACTATTAGCGACGTTAATTCTAAAACGTCGCTAAAACCTATACTTTTGCTGACGAAAATGAAAAAACGTCGGGAAATCCATAACTTTTACCGACGCTAAGTTAAAACGTCGCTTATAATATACATTTTTAGCGACGCTAATTATAAACGTCGGGAAAAATATATTTTTTGCCGACGCTAACTAAAAGCATCGAGAAAAACACAATTTTTGGTGACGTATTTAACCATGCGTTGGGAATAAGCGTCGGGAAAAGTGCAATTTGTTGTAGTGAAGAAACCTTGCCTTAGTACCAGCCAAGTAAACCCCAGGGTCTGGGGCCCCTTTAGCGGTCCAGACCCAAGTAAATAGCACATGTTGTAATGCCTAATAATTAGATTGGGGATAGGCACAGATCGACCCTTGGCCTTTTGAGTCCCCAAGGCTAGTTTTTTTTTGGGATTGTTTAGGGGGTGGGGGTGTTGCCTGGGGGATTAACATTATGGAAGGAAAATGTACACATAATGGCATATCAGTGATTCTCTCAGATTGAATGCATCTGGAGAAACTAATATCCTCATGAAAGATATGTTTCATAACAGCTCAAGATTATTTATTAGTTGATCTCATATTGTTGATGTATAACTTGGATTGGTGTTTCTTGTTTGAGCAAACTCAGTATATTGGTTATTTTTCGTTTTATAACAGTATTTTAGCTCCTCGATTTAGTTATCTAGAAAATCTGGAAGCATAGAGTATTGGGTTTGCTGACTTGTGTTGCTGATTCAGGTGCCAAAGGATAAAAAATGAATTCACGTTCGAATACAATTATCTTGAGGATGAGCTTGTGGAATAGATATGAAGCACATGATATTTGTGCATCAATGACTGGTATGTTGCTTTCCATGTTATCTTTTAATTATGTCAAAGATTGCTTCGAGATCTAAACTCCAGTTTTCAGAGTTTGATGGCTTTCCTTCAAGACCTCTTTTGGCTACATGTTTAAGTAGAAAATGATTATAGAAGGATTAATAAGCGGGCACAAGTTATTTCATGTCTGACCCTGGAACATGTTGGACTTGTACATGCTCATTACCTGAGCAGTAAATATTGTGGAAGATTAAAAAAAATCGTAGAGAAGAGGTATTGGACTGGAGTAGGGAAGTAGAGCATACTGATACAAAAGAACTTAATACGTATTTATTCTGATGTCCTATAGTTGGTCTGTGGAAAAAATTGGTGGGAAATGGACGAACATCAGAAACCTTTAGCAGAAGATCTTGTTGCGGACATTGTTATTTTTTGGTAATTTAATATGCTATTTAGAACCCTCTCGTTTTACCTAAAAGAATGTTCACAGGCAAAAAGCATATCAAATGAATGCAACACTTTTAACTATTACACAGTTACAGTCTTTTACATCGAGGTATAGTTTTCTACTCAGCTTGTGGCTGAGTCTGATAGTGTAGTATAGGCGTGAATGTGATGCATTCCTCATGGTAAAAAGTTTGACAATTGTTACTGAACCTCATGTCATGTTATTCCTTGCATGTTTCCGCAATATTGGTGGAAATATTATCTCCATTCTTGTGATAGATATTCTAAACTATTCTCCTCAGTAGATTTGCTCATTTATTGAGCTTAATTCCATGAGATGCGACCCTATTATGTAGACTTGTAAAAATTTTGAGCAAAAATATTAGGAGCTGTTTTGGGGGTGGACTTTGATCCTGGAGTTCTGATAAAATCAGAGCTCTTCAAGATCCCCAAATTTTCCAATTTTTTTGTTTTTCATTTGGTTTATGGAAAGCTTAACATTTAGTCCACTTTTCTCTTTTTCTCCAAAATGTCCCTAGAGAAGAGATGAATTCTGATGCAGGGATTCCAAAATCCACTTTAGTTAGCAAGCTTTCCATCAAAACAAACAAATAAAATTTTAGATGATTATTTTGATGCTGACATAATTTTGGTGTGGGGCCTGTTCCCAAGAACTCTATGAAACAAGCAGAGGCCCTTAGGCCGTACTCAGTTGGATGCTGACAATCGGATGTAATTAACTGGTGCCCATCTCTTTAATCTGACCATATTTTAACTGTGATGTAAATCTCTGCAGGTCGATAACAGGTCAGGATGAGTCAAATCGGCATACCTGGCAAACCAGCTTTTGGAAGCTGTAAATCATCCCCTTTCCAAATTCTGGCGACACTTCACCAATTGTAAATTTATATAACCGCTAAGTTATCATCCATTTTCCATGTTTAACTGATGTCGGCCAGTGAAATAAGCAGAATAATTGATAACTAATTTTCTTGACCATATTGAATAATCTTATTGGACTGTTCCATTGAATTATTCGGATGTTAAATTTTTAGAAATCCGACTAACTTAATGATGTAGGTGAACGCTTCTGGATATAATGTTTATGTATGATATTTAAACATTTCACTTTAACCTGTTTATCAAATAATAGGCATTGTCTTGGTATTTGCCTTTATTGTGAGGGGTCAAAAGATTTCGCATGTTTTCTTGGTTTTCCTTGTCTTGGTATTTGCCTTTATTGAGGGGTCAAAAGATTTTGCATGTTTTCTTGGTTTTCCTGTTTTTCCATCTGATTTGATGCTGCGACCTTCTGTTTCCATGGATTTTCACTGTAAGGGAGTAAAAGATACGTGATAGTCTGTCGCGTGCATTTTTCGATTATCTGTTAGAAAGTTTACTAAGTGTCTTGTATATGATTGTTTCTGACCTCAATGTCAAATTTCCTTTGCTAATCTGTGCAGGAATTTTGCTAAGCGTAGTTTATTGCTACTTTTGTTGAATTGCTTCGTAGTATTGACTGCAAGTGACGGTTCTAGGGAATAATTTACATGGTAAAGACTTGCTTGTCTCTATGATTTTTATCTAGGGAAGTTGTCTCCATTGGAACGGATCATTGGACTGAAGTGTTGATTATTTACCCGTTGCATGTAGGGTTAACAAAAATCCGAGTCTGAGGAGTTACTTGTATACATATTTGTTAGGATATGGATATAGATTAATGTATTTTAGGTTGATCTGTTCATATGGATATAGATTAATGCATTTGAGGTTGATTTTGATGATCAAGTTCATGATTAGTAAGTGATTGCGGATATGTTAAGTATGATATCCAAGCTATATTGAGATGAATAACGTAAGTGTTGCGATGCCAAATAATTAGAAATTAGGGATAGATAGTATCATAGATACGGATTGACTATTGGCCTTTTGAGCTAAGGCCTTTAAGTCCCAACTGCTAGGCCCGTGTGGGAGGTTATTATTATTATTATTTTCAAGTTCTTTTAATTTTTTTGAAGATAGAGTATAATACGGAAGAAATTTTTAAAATAAACCCATTTACAATTTTAATTCTCAAAATCGACCATATCCAAACATATTTATCAAAATCGACCTACTTTCTCGCCACGTCAGCTTCGTGGTCAGAAAGTGTGTCGTTTAAAAAAAATTGTGATCCTAGTTAGTCGGGGTTGTCAACCCCAACTAATTAGGACCTCCCCCCAGCCCTCTCGTGGTTAGGCCACTAAATAAGTCGGGGATCGAAACCCCGACTAATTTTGTCGGGGTTCCCAACCCCGACTGTTTGGCAGAACATGTGCCGCCCCTCATAAAAATGGTCGGGGTTGAGAACCCCGACCATTTCGTGCAACCTTAACCATTTCGTGCACATTGTACACGAAATGGTCGGGGTGCCCAACCCTGATCATTTGGTAGAGACCCTTCAACCCACACTTTGTTGGAAAATCTCATCTCATCTCCTGCTAACATATATCAATCCAAAAGTTTAACATCAACTCTCTTGCTACATATTTATCAATCCATAATCAATTCCAAACACAAATAAACACATATCTTTATATAATTGTTACATCTATAACAAATCTTTAACAAAAACATAACATTCAATTCACTTACTAAAAATCCAACCATAATCAAGTCACAGTAGCATTTCAAACATAAACATCGTATGAAGTATATCGAAATTTAACAAATAGTTAGAACTCCCTTTCCTCTCGCTCTCCCTCTCCCTCTGCCTTTTCTTCCTCTCCCCCTTCCCCGTTCATCTTCAACATGAGCTTGGATGATCTCAACGTTCGGTTGTGTGAACTTGTGAGCGCATGACATCCTCGTCGACTTGATCCTGCTGTGAACATCCGGCTTGAGCTTGTTGTGAGCCTCCAGCTTCATCATTTGCACGACTTGAGCCCGGTCTCGTGTGTCCTCGAACCCACTAACGCTCGTACCCTATGAGTTATTCCTCACGTTCATCATGATTCGCATTACGCGTCCTTCTAAGAGCAGACTGAATCTTTCCTATGATGCGAACAAACGCGTTCCTCGCCCCTGGCTCGGTAGTCGATCTCAATGCATCATGTGCAATAGAAGCAACCTCATCGAGTTCTTGTACCTATAAGATAAAAAAATGAAAGAGGATTATTAGAAAGTGGATGATAATAAAATGATAATAAAATAATAATCACAAAATAAATTGTATATTTTGCATATACACTTACCAACTCTCCCTCAACTTTACCTCTCGGTATGTACTCCTAGGTGCTTTGTTCTCCCTAAATATACATCGGCGAGTAATCCCTCAATACCACTGTAAGTACACATCTAACTCTGGTGCGTCAGCCCTCTCCATCACTACAGCATCCTCCCTCAACTCCCAATTCTCAATGGAAGCATGACGAATTATCTCACAATTTTGATGATGTGCTCCTTTTCGGGGATTTCGCTCTATTCTTTCTACAGAATCTGGATTATATTGTTTTAATCCAAATTGTCGGAGCACATGATCAGGCACGTGCATTTTGACAATCTCAAAACATATAATCGATACTCAAGCACGCCATATATCTTCACCATCTCTGCAAATATCTGATAGTGAAGCTAAAACCAGTTCATAGGGCATCCACTTGACCTATAAAGAAGATTATGTAAATTTACATATCAGTAACAAATAATGTATTGATTGAATATATTTAGATATTATGATTTTATACCTGTTCATCCTCCATTTGATCAAGTTCGTAGCTATAAAAGTTTTCGTGACTCTTTGGGGAGGTTTGCCAAGATCTGGAAACATTCCATCTATTTGATATACAAATGGTTAATATAGATTAAAATAAATGTATAAAATTATATGTAATCATATCTATTACAAACTAACAGAATCTGGCCATCAAGAGCGTGGGTCTCCCTCAAATTTGGTGATCCCAAATGTCATCGCTCCCATGACCATATTTGCAACAAAGTGAGGCAACATTTGAATTCTTTATTTTGCACGAGTGCCACTTTTGTCATCTCTATGTAAAGATAAACTAACACTGCACTCCCCTAGGATAACTCTCCACACTCCTCAAGATCCTCAAGAAGTGGCAACCATCTAACATGCACTGAATCCTTAGTGGAATCCGAAAATAGAACGGTATCGATCATATGGAGTATATACGCACAGGCATAGCTCTTAACGATCTCATCAGTTGCGTACATTCATATAATTATTTTGTAACTACTCAACCTTGATCTTACCACCCAGCAATCGTTCACACACTCCTATCTAGTTAAAGTCATCAGTACCTGTAACAACATCTCCATCTACTTTGAGGCCAAGTAACACCCCAATATCCTGCAGAGTAATAGTCGACTCTCCTTGACGCATATGAAATGCATTTGTCTTGAGCCTCCATCGTTCAATCGATGCCATCAAGAAAGGTCAATCGAGTCTACCCATTTTATTTGTGAACATTTAAAAAAGCCTGCTTGACGAACATAATATTGGCCGTGGATCCGTCAAATCCCAACTCGAATGTGCACGAGTATGATCAACAATGGTAATACTCGGGGCCTGTGTATATTAAACAGTGTAAATGTTCAGTAACAGTAAGAACATTGAAAATTTGAAATGATTGAAAATAATAAAAATGTCATTTACCCCAGAGTCTATCTTCGCGGATCGGTCTCAATCTTGGTCATAAAGGACCTAATATGTCAATGGACCCGCCTCCATACTGTAAATATCTGCACATATAAAGATAAAATGTGAAGTAGAATAAAATTAAAAATTAAATAAATTGTACCCATTAATTGCTATGTATTTGGATTGGTAGAACAATAAAATCTATTTACAGCCCGGTTTTCTGCAATATCCACACCTATTTTTCTTTGGAGAGCATTTCAATCCTTCATCCATTATACCTTTTATTCATACTGATCACAGATGTCCGACTTGTCTCTTATATTCAGGAGGTAACACATGCCGCCCGTTATAGGGTGACCAGTAACGACTATCTACAATGGGATAGAAACACTGATTGTATGAATCTCTATAGTGGCTTGATTGATACCACTTAGAAGCGTATGTATAATACGAAGTATGTTAGCCCTTATGTTTTGATGATGTTTTACAACCACCATTATCGATACTAATTGCTTGTTGAGTGACAATATAGTTAATATATATATCAAGTATGTTAGTGCCATAAATGGAGGATTGGATGGAATATGCGCTACAACGTTGATATCCAAAGGAGGAGGAGACATAGTGATGAAGCAATGTTCATTCAAGAACACCAAATGCAATAAGAAGCTTCATCAAACTCAAGCTATATCAAGACTCAAAGAATTATATTCCACGTGAGGATATTAGCTAGTTTTTATTTTCTCTCTAGTACTAGAATGTAGGCAAGTAGTTTAGATTTCATTTGAAGCTATTGGGATATCACACACACGTTTTCATACTTACAGTTTTGAGCGTTTTCACAAAATATTATTTTTTTCACAAGTATGAGGACCTATTCGCAAAATTCTTTTTCCAAACAATTTGTTTTTAGTGTCAAAAACATTTTACAAAGTTTCACAATTTTTTGAAGTCAATTAAATATTTTACAGAATTTTTAAGAGAGTCAAAATCAGTTTTTTCGTATGTGTCAGTTTGCGGTCGACCGCCACGGTCGACCGCGCCTGAGTTTATTCGTCAGTGGGCAGCAGAAACATTCACGGTCGACCGTCACGGTCGACTGTGAGCTCGAAATTTCCCACGGTCGACCGCCACGGTCGACCGCAGAACTCTCTGGAAAATTTCTCCGTTTCTAGGCTGTCGCCCGCAGAACTCTCTGGAAAATTTCTCCGTTTCTGGGCTGTCTCGCGGTCAACCGCGAACATTGTACGGTCGACCGCCGTTTATTTTCAAACGGTCATTTGGTACAGATTTCTGCGCCGATTTTTCCTGGATTTAGGGGATTAGGGTATGGGTTTAAACAGCTGTATTTTCTCCTATTTAAACCCCATATACTTCTTCTTCCTCAAGTGTCCCAGGCCATTGAAAAACCAGATATTTTCTTTTACTGAGAGCCAAAAATTTCAAACCCGTTTTTCTGTGTTTTCCTGTGTTCACATCCCAGCTTCTGTGTAATCTTTCTCCTT